CGGAAGTTTCGTGGTCGCCATCGAGACCCCTCCGTTGAAGGCTGTTCTTTGCTAATGGGATGTACACCAGCAGCGACCCAATTGTATCCTGGAAACCTCATCTTCAATGCTCAGCAGCAGACCTTCGATATCAAGGCTACAGTCGACGGTTGCCACCTTGATGTCAAGGGAATGACATTCTCCAGACCTACTTCGACTGGGCTTAAGTCCAAGTACTACATTGCTATCGGTTATGACAAGACTGACCTTGAGCTCCAGGTCAAGGCATGTGCGGATACTCCGGTTACTATTCAAGACTTCAAAGAACCTTTATTGTATGCCTATGGTACGGGAGCGGATAAGAGAAACACCATAAGTCCGGATTGGGGCAAGACCCCGAGTGTGTTCTACCATAAGGATAGATAATCCACAAGCCGCAGCCTGCTGCATCACATGGTCAGATCCAAGTGTATCTCTCAGATTAAGTCGTTCTTTTGTGGCATTATTCGTGATGCCAATTCCCTCTAGACAAGAAATGTAGGGTTCAGAATCGATTCTTGTCGAAATCTATTTCCACTACGCAAATCATAGAATATTATTAGCATTGACTCATGCTACATTGTTTATGACTGTATGATTATATGTTTATGAGTAAATGCTATTCGATTACATCAGACTACGCCATGTTTACCAGCTGCATTATAGAGCGGCTCCCTTTCGTTGCGCATGCGTCACACAAGCACGCATGCTGCGTGCTTGTGCACGCGTACTCATGCTCATCAGATCGATCTCGCTATGGCCGAATGGCCCGTTTTACGACGATTCAAGTTCTTATGATGAGGATTAAGTTTATATAAGAGATCATGAGACTAAGTAGTTCACTTTTTGAGTCACGGAAATCAAATGGCACTTCTGAGTAGTGTTAGTCATCGGGGGGTCATTTGGTAGTTTCTGATTGTCTGCATCTTGTCGTGCAATCCTCAACTGTATGAGGATGGCTGTCCGATGTCCACAGATGAAGTCGGCAGGGCGGGACGAGCCA